GCGAGCTCCGCGGTGGCTCCGTCTGACGCGGGGTCCCGGCGGCTCTGCGCGCGCGGTGGGGCGGCCGGGTCCGCGCACAGGGTCTCCGCTCCCCCGACCTGAGCGCGCCGGCCTCGGGGACCCTTGCCAGTGACCTTCGGAGAGGGCGAAGGGCGCGCCCCAGGGGAGCGGTGGGGAAATCGCGTCCTGGCCAGACCAGTCCGGACACCGCCTGCTTTAACAGGAACAAGTGCGAAAAGACTCTTGGCACTATAATACCGTTTGCCACTCCGAAGATGTGCAAAGATTCCATTAGAATAGCAAAATGATTTAGGTCTGCCCGCCGGGCTTTAATTCTTCGCTGTTTATCGCCATTTTTGTAGTCTGGTGAGGGTTAAATGTTAGCCTCACCCTTTAGCTATAGTCTTGCAAACACCCATTTGAAAACCAGTGGGGTTTGGGGGGGTTTTACTAGAACAAGCAATATAAAGAATTAGACTTTGAGGATCTGAGAGAAAAATAATTTCTCTTGATTTTAGAAAAGATTGATCCGAAAGTTTACCAATTTACCAGTCAAGCCTATCTTGTTAAACTTATTCATTCTCTGTATAAGGGCAGTTCAGTGTAAGTCATTCAAATCCATTAAGCAGTAATCCAACTAAGATGAAACCAGACAGATCTGATCAATATTTCAAGACAACAGGTAAGTGGCAGCTCTAGATCTATAACTATATCTGTGTATGTTTAATAAGGTGCAGTGCATCAACATATGTTTTAGGATGAGCCTACCTTTTAAAAACTGCACTTTTCTTTGGTTTTTGGATCAGTGGATTGTAGTTTTCCTTATCCATTTTCTTAGACCAGAAATTAATACGTTTAGTGAACTAAAGTTGGTAAACCGGTACTATAAGAACTTCCAAAAACCTGAAATTGAATTACCGTAGACCAGGAGGCAGCACAGGAGTATTCAGGTGTTTATGAAGTGATTAGTTAACTATGTAAATCTGTATTAGAACCGTAGACCATTAAAATTTGGAGTTGTGAAGACCATGTGGTCTAGCTGCGTCTATTCCGAGGAAGAAATAGAGCAAGCAGCAGCATGGCTTTCCCTGGGTTAGGTGGCTCCCTGGTGGCTTGTAAGGTAGAAGCTGACTCAACCTCAGAAAGGCTAGGCACTCTCCTGCCTTTACCACTGAGCAGTGATTTCGAAAAGTGATTTCCCCGCTGCCTCAGGGGTCTTCTCTGTAGAAACCCTAGAGGTATATACAGTATGTAAATAAACACTGTCCTTGCCTTGTAGAGAACATGGGATAGTTAGAACGAAAAGGATGATAGGAATGCAGTGCATGCTATAGTGCTGTAGAAACTGTAGTTACTAACTTATGTAATGCAAGGAGCTGACCGGAATGTATGAGTGGTTGAGGATATTTAATACCACCCTTTCTCCTGCTGAAATTATAATTATGATATCTGATTTCTCCAAAGCAAACTTGGTATAATTATTGTACTGAGTTACTAAAATAATGATTCCCCCTAGCCAAATAGGCTTATATTTTTATTGATTCAAACATTTGGAAAGTAGTTGAGTTCTTGCATTTTTCGTTTTGCAGTCAGTCAATATTTATGTCAACTGACTGAGCTGTTCCCTAGTTAATTGACTTGATCATTGCTTCCACACTTTGTATACTGATTATTTTTTTGTCATTTTAGGAGATGCGGAATTCTTTCACATTTGTCTGTTAACATTCTTTTAAAATACACCTCCTGGCCAATTATCCTACCACTTATAGTGTTTAATGAGTTGAAAACACAAATAGAGTAGTAAGGCTAATTGTGAGCTTATTTTGAAGGAAGTATACATTTCTCAATTAAATTTAAAAGCATTTTGGGTCTGTATTTGGAACTTTTACTAAAACAGAAAAATTGACATATTTTATAAACCTACATAGCTTTTGTCAAGGACCAATTTTATATAATTAATAATAGAGTTTTTTTTAAAGACCAACACCAAGGACAGGTAATGTAGTCAGAAAGGGGCACCACTTTAAGTTCTATATAACCGTGTATAAAATGAACATTACTTGAAATGGGTTGCCTATGAATCTTAATATTAAATGAATTTATTTATGACCTCTCCTATGTATAAATAACCTGGACATTTACTACTTTTTTAATTTGTAATGCTGGGGATATAGCTCAGTGGCATAAGCACCTGCCTGGCAAGTGCAAGGTCCTGAGCTTGATTCCTGGTACAAAAAAAAAAAATTTGTAAGATGCTACCAACTAGAATTATTATAGGGAAAGAAATAGATTCAAGTTGGACAAAATCTTTAAATGTTATAGTTTTATGAATGTCTATAGAACTTTGCTTTTTATTAAGCACATATATGATAATATATGCTATATGAATGATACAATGATTTAAATGATGGTATAAAATAAAACTATCACATATAAGGCTGTTAATTTTTTAAAGTATTAAAAAAATCAGTTTATTTTTCCTGTGCTTAGATTTAGGGTCACCAGTGAGATTCTAATGGAAGATTATACTTAAAAACTTTGTAATTGCTGTTGTTTATGAACATCTATCGTTGTCTTTTAGGTTAGTTAATTCTCTTCCCTTCCTTATGAAATATGAATAGGTACTATAAATGTATACCTATGCATATATATATCTTACGTACATATATATGTATATTTGTATGCTAGAGAACAGTTGTGCACTCTGAAGTATTTTATGTATTTCATTTCATTTCATCATAAGGCAAATAAGGTATTGTGATTTAATGGATAAGGAAATGTCACATGTATTCCTAACTCACAAGTGCTACAGAAGTCTGTCTACCAACATTCCATTCACAGAAATCGTTTTCTCATAACACTAGTAGTAGGTGTGGTAAAATCTATGTTCATGATTTTATGTGTTTTACAGGAATTTTCAGCATGAATTATACGGAGACCAGCTCATTGGCAGACTCAACAATAGGTTTTACAGCTGAGTTAGGAAGTATCAGACCTGTGCCTTCCAATGAGACCACTTGTGAAAACTGGCGAGAGATACATCATCTAGTTTTTCACGTGGCAAATATTTGTTTTGCAGTTGGTTTGGTTATTCCAACAACCCTTCACCTTCATATGATATTTCTTAGAGGGATGTTGACTATAGGTAAGATACCCGAGATTAGGCAGAACTTTGTCCTAAATGGTATCAGATGGACTTTATGTTGGAGACTTCAGCGTGATCCTTGTTATGTCTGTAGCGTACCTAAGAGTTCAGGTCTTTGTTACTGAATTAGCAACATATCAAGTATTTTAAGGGGCTGGGGGTTTAGCTCAGCGGCAAAAGCGCCTGCCTGGCAAGCGCAAGGTCGTGAGTTCGGTTCCCGGTACCGGAGAAAAACCAAAAAAAAAAAAAAAGTATTTTAAAACAAGGCCTTTGCATAACATATTTATCCCTTACTTACTTTTGAGAAAAATTGTGCATGCTTGCATATGCTGTTTAGATTTTCTAGATATCAGAAAATCTATTCATATATTCATTGTGTGGACTTTGGAGGCAGATTGTATGATTTGAGTCCTGGTTCCACCACTTCCAAACTATGTAATTTGGACAAGTGATTTAATCTTGTTACCACACAGTTTTCTCATGTGTCATATCGAGTAAGAATAAAACCATCTCATAGGGTTGTGGGAATTAAATGACTATTACATCACGTAGTAAGTATTATACAATCTCAAGCTGTTATTATTTGAAGACACTCAGTTGCTGTGGCCAGTTAAGCAACATTGTAATGAAGGTAATCACCCAAACATAATTGTTAAAGAAAACACTTTTTTGGTTCTTGTAACCTTGTGAAGTAAATTAAATTGATTCACATCAAAATACTAAAACAATTGAATGGATTACTTTAGCCAGTGATTCTTCACAGATTACTCTTTCTGCTTATTTCCCTGATAATCCATTTATTCAGGTGCATTTTTAAGCACCTGTAATGTATCAGACAAAGACTGAAGAAGACAGTCTCCATCCCTGGAGAGAGAGATGGGCAGTCACAGTGTGGGGAGTTGGATGCTGTGATACAGGGGTGCATCCATACCGGGGGGAAAGGAGAAGGTGACAGGCTCAGCAGGAAAGTGACACAGGCCCCTGAGGACAAACCACTTCTGCCAGCTTTTGGAAGATTAGCGGGACTTTTCTGAATGTGTGTATTACCTTATAAAAAATAGTCCAGGCAGGGGCATCTGGAGGTAATTGGTGTCAGACCAGTAGCTGCAGTAACCACAGTTTTGTCTTCAGTTCCACGATGTTTGCCTTGGTCAAAACCGCGCTAGGTTGTCTTCCTGTTCAAAATATTCAACAAATAGCGGCAAGGCAGAGCTGCTAGAAATGTGCACATGCGTTCCATGACAAATACGGCAGTGCTATGTGAGTTGGTGGAGCCACATTCTGCATTGCTGTATGGACGTACGATCTACAGCAACACAAATTGGAGTAGAGTGGAACCTTTGTCCTGTTGGCAGTCACCCCAGAGGAATGGAGAGATCAGTAATCATGCCAGCTGATGTAATACTACTGAATTATTTCAAAATCAAATCATAACTGATGCCAATTAAAAGCACTATATCCACTAACATATGGTGTATTGAAGAAATAAAGTATAATTGAAACCTTAAAAGAAAAGTCCAAATCTGAATTTTAAGACAGTTTTGGAGATAAAGTGGACCAAAGAGATTATCTAGCCCAGTACTTGAGTCTATAAATGAGGAAAATGAGGCCAAGTAAAGTGACAAGCCTTATTTACATGCACCCACGTAATTCTGATGAGGTAAAAAAATTATTGATGAATAACTTTTTAATGTCAGAGGTTAGCTTTTGTGTCCATGTGTGTCGATACATTTGTACGTTAGTTGATAATTTCATCTTAAAAATACACTGATTCTCCTACCGTAAAATTGATCAAAAGGAACTGATATTGTATGTAAAGTCAGAGAGAACAGGACAGTTGCTGTAATGGATATCACTAAGTGAAAATTCAGGTGGTTAAAAAGTTTTGGTATGACATTTGGACTCTTTAATATTAATGAAAATACAAAATAAAATATAATTCTTTTATATCAAATGAAAAGTTTTCAAATTTTATTTTGACAACCAGATACTGGTGTTCCAAAATAGTAGGTTTATAAATTTCTACAGACCTGTTGGAAAACAGTTCTTCATAGCATCCAAAGCTGGAAGCTCACCTTCAGGTAATCCAGCCTAAGCAAACGATCACAAATACAGATGCTTTTATGGGTAAAGTTGTTTTTTTCTTACTTACCAAAGATTATTCCCCCAAAATATCATCTGTGTTCAATAGGGAGTTAGGATTATGATTTAATCACTTATACTCACTAAAAACTATGCTTGAAAAGAATTTTTTGTTATTGCTTACAAAGAATTTTAATGAAATGGGAAAACTGTTGTAATTAAAAATGTTTTAAAATTATACATACAATAGGTTTTCTGTTTGGTAAAACTGTATAACTGTAACATAGCATTAAATATCAGCTGGGGTTTTCTTTAAATTACAGAACTGTAGATTTTTCCTCCCCTTTAAAAAGTATTTTCTTTGGGCTGGGGGTATATAGTTCAGTGGTAGACTGCTTGACTAGCACATGTGAGGCCCTGGGTTAACTCTCCAACACTGCTTTAAAAACAGAAAGGAAGAACGTATTTTATATTATGCAAATATTCTACAACAAAGAATGTGTTTTTTCCTAAAGTAAAAAAATTGAAACTGATATTCAGCTCATCTATTTGTAAAATACATTTGATTTATATACAGAGAATGAGAAATTTATTGTTACCTGCTGAAGTTGTTCTATATATATGACATGTTAATAACTTTGTTATCCAACAGGATGTACCCTCTACATTGTGTGGGCCACTCTCTACCGATGTGCCTTGGATGTAATGATCTGGAATTCTGTGTTCTTGGGAGTCAACATTTTGCATCTTTCATATCTTTTGTACAAGAAGAGACCGGTAATTACTAAAATTATTTAATAAGGAAGTGACTTTAAATATACAGTCTTTAGAAGCATTTTGTTCAGATTTTAGAATGAACATCTAATATCTTTAATCCTTTCAATATTATTTCTCTGAAGATTGGACTTTCCATTTATAAATGCCTGAAAGTATAATATTTGAGAACTGTGAGATTTGGTCTACAAATGAGTTTTTAGACCTTTTCAAATCATTAGGTGTAGGGATCAGGGATATATTTCAGTGGCACAAGTGCCTGCCTGGCAAGTGCAAGGTCCTGAGTTCAAGTCCCAGAACCAAAAAAAAAAAAAGTCATTAGGCATGAAAGAACATGAATAATACTCTTAAAAGTCATATTGTTTATTTCCTTTGTCCACTGATACTCAATTATAAAATTACTAATAGGCAGCTTCCATAAGCTTCCTAATGATTTGCAAATAGTTCTTTTTTAATGTAATGACTATTATATTTTTTCTTATGCCCAAAATATTCACTTAGGTAAATCATTTTTGATGGCTGGTTACCAAGCTCCAGAGTTTAATGTTTTATTTTCAACTCTTGATTTATCTTGTTGGATTTCCTTCATCATATCAAGAACAAAAGTACAGTAGGGAAAATAGCATGGCTTCTAGAAATCATGCCGTGCATATTCCTCTAAGCACACACATTCACTAAAGCAAAAGATGTAATGCTTGCCCTAATCTTACGTTCAAGGATAGACCTGATGTAGAAAACATTCCAATTTGAATGATACAATGATATATGAAATAAGCATTCCACTAGATTGTAACCTCTTCACACAGAGGAAGTCAGTCTGTGTTGCTTTATTGTATTGGTCAGCTTTCTCTAGGTTAGGCTGGATAATAACCTGAACATCTCAGTGACCCATAGCAACAATGGTCTTTTTTCTCACCCACCTTACATGTTGACTCTGGTAATCAAGTGTCAGCTATAATTATACTCCATTGTCCAACGCATTTCAGAGTCTCTGCTGAAGGAGCAAGTTCTGTTGGGACTGCATTTTCATAGCAGAGGGAAAAGAACGAGAGAACAAAAGAGAGACACCCAGTGTTCCATACAGTGTCTGCTCAGAAGGAACATAATGTCACTTTTGCTCATATTTCATTGGCCAAAGCAAGTGACATGGCCAAGCCTGCTAATGTGGAGAGTAGGGAGTGGAAGGAAAAGTATAATCCTCTTATAGGGCCTGGGAACAGCATTCAAGAACACTGTGTAATTAGCACACTTACTGTTGTAGTCCCTGTTCTGTCAACCATAACAGGCACAGTCGACAGTCAGAAAAACTGTTGATGGGTAGGTACTTTCAGAGAGAATAAAGAGGACTTCAGGAAGAAATTAGGTCTCGAGCTGAGACTTGTAGGATGAGTAGAATGTGAACAGGCATCACTAGATTTTCAGATGCTTTGCTCATTACTGTACCACCTTGGAATATGTACATGCTGGAAGTGGGACATAGTTGTGAATAAATTGTTTCAGATGCTCATTACTACAGCCCTGGAGTGGAAGAGACAGATGAGTATAATAATCAAGATGTCCGTTCCTAAAGATCAGAACTTTCTGGAACCCTCAAATAACCAGGTTCATAAATTGCTGATGTGGCTGAAGCACCAAATAGGATTCAGTACTGTACTTGCATTTATTCTCAGGCTATCAAACTATTTTTTTGAAAAATGTAATGCTGGTTCTTCATCAAAACAAAACAGCAGGACAAATAGGATCACTGCAAATGCAAAAGTGATGTTGTAGCAGCTCTGGTGATCTGGGGCTCAGGCTTTGTCGGTGTCTGCCAGAGCTTTCCCTGGGGTGGAGTTCACCCCCAGTGCGGTGCTGTTTTCCTCTCCACCCAATTAGTGTGACTTTCAGAGACAGCCTGTCATCATGCCTGGGGTATGACCTTGGCCTCAGAAAATCTAACACCAGAGGTGATAAAGCCATTTTGCTTTCTCTTCCTCCAGTAGCCAGCCTTATTCACCAGGGGAGGCTCCATCCTACAGGGTTTACTTTAGCTGAGAATGAAACTGCTACACTGGAGCTCTATACCCTCATCTTTTCCTTCACGTGGCATGCAGAAATATGAAGCAGTGATTGCTCCTGTGCAGTTTGTTTTTCTCTCTAGTAAATAACTTAATGGAGATAAAATGTTTCATGTAAATGCAGTGTTTGTTTGGTAAATTTGTTTTACATTCTTATTTTGTGTATTTTCTTACTATAGCACACAAAAGTTAATGTAATTTCTCTCTGTGAAACAAAAAATTTTGGAGATGAAATTTTGTGTTATTTGCAGAAGGTGCTATGGTTGGGAAGGTGAGTGTTGTAACAACATCCAAAATCTCATCAGTTGCTTTATGGTCAGTAGAACAAGGTGTGATCCACAGGGCCAATCTTCTCTTATGCTCTTAGAGTTGATTTTAACTGCAAACATGTGCCCTTTAGCAGATAAAGTAGAAACTTACATCACTGCTCACTCTCTGGGTAAGACTCCATTGACCTAAAAACAGAAGGGTGATGGTATGTTCAATAGAAGGGTGATTTGTTTCTTCTCAAAACCATGTTTGCACCACAGAAGTCAGTATTTTGAGGTTGCTGTTTTAGTGCCGCTTCTCTCCTTTGCTGCATTTCAGGTAAAGATTGAAAAGGAACTCAGTGGCATCTACCGGCGATTGTTTGAACCCCTCCATGTGTCTCCAGATTTGTTCAGAAGATTAACTGGACAGTTTTGCATGATTCAAACCTTGAAAAAGGGCCAGACTTATGCTGCAGAGGACAAAACCTCAGTTGATGACCGTCTGAGTATTCTCCTGAAGGGAAGGTATGGAAATAGGAATTCCTAGTTTGCCTTGAACCTTTGCACAACCTCTGGGAAGGAAATAAGTAAGAAGAGATGTTGCCAGTTAATGGATAAAGTAGTTGAGTATGGTGGTGATGAAATTTCTTTTACAATTAAACTTTGTAATGCTGTGGCGCAACAGGTTAAAGCTGGGAAGACTCCTGCTCTGAGTTTTGCTGCTGTCAAAATTTTCAATTGTGACTATTTTTAACCATTTTTAGCTTTTTAAAGTTAAGTCAAGATTTACTGGCATTGAAATTCAAGAAGGTTATATGTTCATTAGAGGCGATTTGCTTATTTTTTGAATATCATAAAAATGTAACTTTTAAAAAAATGCATAACTTCTGTGAATATCATCCTTCTGGGAAAGAGCCAGTGGGTACTATTGTGTGGGCATAATTATTAATAACATCCCTTTCCCTCTCAAAAGTCTGCCAGTTTGAGTAACAAATTATGTAGTCACTTCAAGTGTTACAGCCATGATGACCATCAGAAGGCACATTACTGGTTTAATAGTGGATGCTGGTTTTGTTTTCCTGGTATTATTTTTTGGAATTATTCTATTTCAGGAAGCATTTTTAACTGTCTGTCATCTGTGGAATCTTTTAAAACTTAAGTACAAAATATAATCCTGTAAGATGATGGTGATTTTAAAGATTGTCATATTATTTGTGAAATATATGCTTATTAACATTGTTTTCTGTTATCAGAATGAAGGTCTCCTATAGAGGACATTTTCTGCATAATATTTATCCCTGTGCCTTTATAGATTCTCCTGAATTTAGATCAACTCAGATGCACAAAGGTGAAAAATTCCAGGTATGTTATGGTTTGATTTTAAGGAAGATAGAAACTAGTTCATTGCCCATTCAAAATCCAGGGGTGTTATTAGTAGAATATGGCCATGATTTATTGAAAAAAAGAGATTATCATATGGCATATATTGTATAACATCATCTTAAAAACTTAAAATGTGTATGTATATTAGCAACCTTCCCACTACTGAGACAAAGGACCCACCTCTCACAACTTAAAGGAGGACAGGTATATTTTGGCTCATGGTTCAGTCCATGGTCAGCTGCTTCCAAGGCAGGAATGGCTTGGTGAAAGGCAATGGCAGAGGAAAGCAGTTCAACCTATGGTACCCAGGAAGCAGAGAGAGAAGGTAGGAGCTAAAGATGAGAATGTACTTTCCTAGGTCATGTCCTTAGTGCCCCACCTCCAACCAGAGCCCACTTCCTAATGGCACATTCAACTGTGAATTCCTAAGTGGATGAATCCACTGGTAAGTATACTACCGCCATAACCCAATCCCCTTCCACACATGAGAATTTCAGGGGGACATTTTAAATCTGAATCATAACATTCCACCCCTCGTTCCCAAAAGATCCATGTCCAGCTCATTATGCAAAAATACATTTAATCAATTGCTAAGAGTCACTGAAGTTGTAATAGTCCTAGCATTACTGAAAAGTCCAAGTGCAAAGTCTCCTCTGAGACTCAATCCAGATTCTTAGCTCTGAGCCCCTGTTAAAAATCCAAAAGAAAGTTAAATACTTCCAATATACAGTGCCACAGGGTAAACATTTCCATTCCAAAAGAGGAAAAATGGGGATAGAAAGGAATGGGACCAAAGGAAGACCAAATTTCAGTAGGACAAACATTAAATCATGTAGTTCCACGGCAAGATGTGGTGAGATGTGAACTGCAAGGGGCTTGGGGAGACCCACCACCATGCATTGTTAGCGGCAGCACACATGGCGTCTTTCTTGGGTGGCTGTGCCCACTGCTGGTTGTTTTTCTAGGCCGATGATCCACATTCCTAGCATTTTGAAATCCTTGAGGTCTCCACCTGGCTTTACTCTCACAATTTTACGTACTGCTTTCTCAGGATCACACTACCTGGCCTCCCAGGCCTTCCTCTGAAATCTGGGTTAAGCTTCCATGACCCCTTAACTCTTGCATTCTGAATGTTTATAAAGCCAGTACCATGTGGATGATGCCAAGGTCTGCTGCCAGTGAGAGCAGAAGTCAGGCCTCCTTAGATCATGATTGCAGTGACCTCTGAGTACCCAGCACTATGAAATGAATCCTGGTGAAATAGTGCCCTAGGGACTGTTCTTTAGCAGAGGGCCTAAGGGGGTCTCTTCTCAAATGAAAGCTTTATAATTTTTTACCATTGAGCTCACATCTTTCTTGTGTCCTGGTGCAAAGTACTTGCGTTCCCCTGCCCTTTTTTTTTTTGTCTTTTTGAGACAGGGTTTCACTATGCAGTTCAGGCTGGCCTTGAACTCACTTTGTAGCTTACGCTAGGCTCGAACTCACTGTAATCCTCTTGCCTTATCCTCCTGAGTACTGGGATTACAGGCATGTGCCACCATGCCTAGCTAGCATTTTTTTTAATTATAATCTTTTCAGCAACCATGCTTTCCTTTGCTCTAACTTTGCAGGTGCTTTCTTTCTGGGGAAAGTGAAAACTATTAAAATCATTCAGCTCTGCCATTTGTTGCTGATTTTCAATGGGGATCTGTCTAAAAGCAGTCAGAAGTACCCATGCCATGCAGAACATCAAGCTACTTTAAAATTCTAGATTACTTAGAATTAACTAATCCCCCTAGATTAATTAATCCCCAGCCTTTAATTTTATTTTCCCATCAAGTCTCAGGATGTGGGCAGAATGTAGACAGATTTTCTGCCAGAGTGTAATACACAAGACCTCTAGTCCAACTGCCAATGGAGTCCTTGTTCCCAGCTGAAACCTCCTGAGCCTGGCCTTTACTGTCTGCATTTCTTTCAGCATTCTGGTATTCTGAGCATCAACCAAACTTCCCATCAAGCTCAGTTTATAGCATCTCCATATTTTTCCAATCTCCTCCTATGAATCAGTTCCAAAAGCTTCTAAATTACATGGTCAGGTACAGTCATTACAATGAGCCTACATCTCTGGTATCAAAACCTATATGAACAGTCTTCCACACACATAAGAATTTTGGGGAACTTTTTAGATCTAAAGGCATATTCTATTTTAGCCAAGGTGGTCACTAATATTTCTGATATTACTGTGGTATTAAAATTTTTTTTCTTTTTGCTTATTTGAATTTCTATATTTTTTCCATAAAAAATATTTAATATTTTTATTATGAGAGAAAAAGAAAATGTCTTTGTAGACAATCAGTGTACCTGAAACATGTAATGGATTACTTTTATTAGGAGAAAACAGAAAACTGGCTTTGCCATAGAGAATTTATTTTAGTAATCATTATGAAAAAATTGAATCACTTTACCCTTTTCTGCTTAGTGAGTATTTTTAAGGGCAAAGACTGAAATTCGTCCCAGTAGCAGCAATTTGAGTGTGGACCACTTGGTATAATTCTTTTTGTATTTTTTAATTGCTCCATTACATGGCACTTCATTCTAATTCTTTCTGTGAGTACCCAGATCTCCTATTTATTGTTGGTAGGAAAATAATCAAGAACATGAATGAGTCTTTTTCAGTTTAAACCTCTAGATAAACAGCAGTTAAGGAAATACTCTGAGCAATAAGGTCCATCTCTTTAGGTACAAAATGAAATTGAAGGGAATGATACCACCTGAGGGAGGAAGAGATGTCAAAGTTTCTGGATGGCAGACTCTTACTTTGAGACTTAGATTCTCATTTTGCATTGCCAGATAACTTGAGATGCCACAGTGAAGAGAAACATAAAATTTTATAGGCATACCGTTTAGTTTATTTTTGTTCACATGGTTTCAGCCTCACCCGTTCCTGAGTAACTGGCCTAAGCATAGCTGGCTGAGTAACTGGCCTAAGAAATTACACAATTTGTTAAAATTAAATGCATTTTCTGGAAGGTCTCAGAGACCTTTACTGATACGTGTGACCCTGTTCCCATGCTGGCTCTGCTTAAGATATGGAAAGAGCAAGTTAATGCTGTGTCCCAGCTGCTCTAGTGTACGCTGTCATCTTGTCACTGCGGCCAACAGAGCCCTGAGATTTACGTTCTTACTGTATCTGTAGTCACTAGCATCTGCAAATGAGGACAAGGCCACTTCTTTCTGCTCTTCTTTCCTTTCAACTCCTGACAGTTGCTTTTTCCAAAGCCCAGCATTTATCTGTTGCATCTGTTTCTCTGCGTATAGTAGCAAGTGGCTTTAAATGATAACTCAGTCTCATAGTATCCTGGAGAAACTGGGATTTGGGATGTAATAGGAACCAAACCTTTGTCTCCAGAAGCAAGAGGTTCCTGAGAGGCCAGGAACACGAAAGTGTACTACCTTTTCCACAGGACTTCAAATTATATTACATTTTTAATTCAGTTAACAAAAAGTACTCCCTACCACTAATATAGTTCTTTTACTTCTTTGAAACTGGCAGTAAGGTTTCGGTCGTTGAAAACTGTTGCTGGTATTAATGTGAGGATTCCAAGAATGTGACTAAAATTGAGGTAGCATACATGGATGAAGGGTTCTGACTCATCCTTTGTTATTACCAGTCAGCTTTTCTCTACTTCTCTGCGTAGTGTCTGGAGTGCATTTTGTAACTGGCCAGTGTATGAAAATTACTATAGCATCAGCAAGCCTGTTCTGTACAGTTAAAGCTAACACCATCAAAGTAAGCCCTTGGGAGATTTGGGATTTGGAATGTAATAGGAACCAAACCTTTGTCTCTCTAGGGCACGTAGCCTGCATACCCTATAAGGGAGGGAAAGAGGCCTGCTTCCCTCTTTTGCCCCTTTTGCTCTTGTTGCTTTTGCTGTTTTCCACCACTGTGAACTGTTGCTCCTCTGCCATGTGCCACCCTGCCTCAGAGCCAGCGGATTATGGACTGAAACTTCCACAAACTACAAGCTAAATAATCCTTTCCTCCTTTAATTTTGAGTGTCGGGTGTTTTGTCTGAGCAATGAGAGAAAAGTAACCAAGACACTCTTTTACTGAAGCAAGTTCCCAAGTGAAAAAATATCATGTGCTTCCAGAGCCAATTTCTTCACTCCCTGTGCCAAGCACAGAGGACACTTGAAGTTTTCAGTGGTTGGACTTCTCTGCCTATCTGCCTTGTACCTCTGAAGCTCATCCTTCCCATTAGGGAGCATTCTGACAGGCAGCTATGTCTTTTGCATGTTTACTTCTTTAAATTCTTTCTGTGGTCAAGGTACTGATGAATTACACAATATAATCAAAAGGAGAGAAAAGGCAAGTGGACTCAGTAACTGTCCTTTGATAGCACAGCAGTTTAGAGTGTTGCTCAGGTAAAGGTGTAGTAATTATAATAGTAATAGGCATAGTGATAGGGCCAAAAAAACCAAGTTGGAACTTACAGTTCTTCTCCCTAGGGGCTTGCAGTTGTTCTGGTACTTGCACACCAAAGCTGCCACTTGTAACTGTTGGAATCTTGAGCATCATTGTTACAGAAGGTAGAAGTAGTAGTGTTTTATGTTTGGTTTCTTTTTCTTTGTGCAGTTTTTATTGACTTTAAGGAAAGAGGAATGTCTTAGAGACATATAGCCTTGCTCTTGTGAAATAAATGAACACTACATTTTACATGATATTTAAAGAAAACATTATCTTAAGTACACATTTTAGTGAAGTTGTGTAAAGCAGTTTAACGTGCCAGTTTTAACTGTGCCCATGTAGTGCCCATGAGAATTCAGTAAGCATCAGATAGAGAGACCTCTTCTGGATAGTTTTGTGTTACTGGTGTGTGAAATGCTATATGGTATGGGGAAAAAGTAGTAAATTTTCCTCTTAGGACAGTTCAGTAATCCTTATGTTAGACTGCTGTTTCCGATCGTAGCTCATCCGCAGTTTCTTTATGACACAGGTACGTTTATTTTATAAAAGCTTTAAAATCTCTCATCAAATTTCCCCTGTTTATAAGGACGTAGTCATACTAGACTAGATGCCTATCCTAGAATTTTTCATTAAAAATACATTTTGCTTGATTATTGTGACAAGAAATCATGAAATAAAACTGTCTGCTTGGCAGACGAAGCATTAGCTACCAAGAGAAATTAGCTATCAACACACTAACTACTGGCTTCCAATTAAATACCTGGCCTGGTGGACCTGTAAGTTAACTTATATGTACTGTAGGTGTTGCTTGTTACCTGAGTGCTGATACGAAATTTATATTCATTAATAATTTAAACATGTATAAGGTAACTTTCACCTATAAAAAAATGAATTTGCTGGGCAAATTTTAGTGTCATAAAGTATTGCACCACAGGAGACCTGAGGTAATTCACATGTTTGAAGAGAGGTTAACGGTGCATATATCACCTAAGTGGATGGATAAACCTTCTCCTGGAAGATGTCCAGTTCCTCACCCCACTACATGTGAGTTATATTTTTCCAGAGTTACAGCTGACATCTGTACAATGAAAGGAGCACAGCTCCCCCTAGACTCTCTTTAGCACTTGGTTGTGTGGCTGGGCTGCCGTAATTACCCAGTGCTTCCTTTTCTGTTATTTGTCCTATGGAACATTTTTTGGTTGCCTTCCATTTTACTCTCTCACATCCTACTGTTTCTGTGAATTCCCTGGGGCTGGGTTGACCGTATACTTGCCCTCCAATAAGTCCTGTCAGTGTTGGTCGTATTTCTTTTTGTTATTAGCTTCCTTCACTAGAATGTTGGCATTGTGATATCACGTCAGCCAGTCTTTGTGAGGGACCGTCAGCGGATTGGGTGCTCAGCTGTGAGCACGTGGCTAAATTACTTTCTATGTGATCTTCTTGGTGAATATTGGATGCATTGAGTGGGGTTTGTCCTGATGGGAAATGTCAGGCCTGGCAGTCAAAAGTGCTTACTCCACCACTAACTAACATGTGTTCTTCTGCAAGCTTTTGGTGCTTCTCATTTGACATCTGACACAAGTGGAATGTTACCTGTTTTATTTATTTTACAGGCAATTTTAAGGATCCACTCACATGACAGAAATAAAAGTCCCTTAAATGTTTTAAAGAGCAATGTATGTATATATATATAGGCATTATATGCAACTGTCAGCCCCTAGTCATTCTCCACTGCTTTTCCCTCTTGTATTTGTCACAGCACTTACTGCCACCTGAGATTGTCATATTTATTTATTTATTTATTCATTTATTTATTATCTGTCTCCCCTTCCAGAGTATGAGCTTCATGGGATAGGAACCTTGTCTTTCTTATTTACCACTGTAACCTCAGTGCTTTGACATCTGGCACAAATTACGTGCATGATGACACACTGAAAGAATGAATGAAATTTAGTGTTTTATGAAAACTTTTTTTTTTTTGAGACAGGGTCTTACTATGCAGTTCAGGCTGGCCTTGAGCCCACTTTGTAGCCCAGGCTGGTCTTGAACTCATAACAATCCTCCTGCCTCAGCCTCCCGAGTGCTGGGATTACAGGCGTGCACCATCACACCCAGCATATGAAGTCTTAAGGATGTTAATATATTTCTTAAATCCAAGTGTGTTTGGTTTGGGGGATTCCTACTATAAATCCAAACTTTCTTTTTTCTAGGAATATTGATCCACTTTTTAAAGTGGCCAAACCTAATTTGCTGAAGATCAGATTTCAGCCTGTTGATATAAGAAGCTGATTCTTTTTCATTTTCTTTCTTGGTTGACTTATGTACTCCTTTGCCATCTGAAATGTGTTTAATTTTGTGGAGATCAAAGAGGAAGAGCTCTTTTGGAAATGTCTGCTCTGAGGCCCAAATAAGACTTTATGTCAATTTAATAAAACTTTATTAACGTTCTACTAGGATAAGCACTGGGTTTAAGGTTGAGGATATGAAAATGGTTTTTGCCTTCAATGGTCTTTGTGTCCACTTGTTAACTCTTTCGTACAATAAACGCACACTGAGCACCATTGTGACTGTGTGTTGGAAGCCTGACATTCAGACAGGGAGACGTGTGATTCCTCCATCACAATGCTTAGGACACACACATGTGTTAGTGGGTGAGTTGGATAGTGCCATATGAGTGCCATAGTGATGAGAAGAGGAATACTAAGGGCGGGATGCGGACCTGTGGAAGATGAGGAAGGGCTTCCGGCGGGGTGCCTCACTCTGGAAGAGGGAGGAATACTCAAGCTCTGTGCAGCAGTTGCAGAGCCCTCCCACTTTCCTACGTGACAGTACGTGATGAAGAGTATGGTTTGCCAGTTCTGAGTCAGTCAAGGATCTCTGCAGATCCCTAGCGGGCTACCGTGTAGCTCACTGTGGAAGGTCGTACTTGAGAAACACATGACAGGAGGGCCCTCACACAGACAGGCTGCACCCATCAGTAACAGCCTGCACCCTGAAGCCTTCTCAATCTCAAGTGTTCATTTGCGCAGTCAGCTAGAAGGCCTTTCATGTGCAGTTTGCCTCTCAAATCTTCCTTCAGTTCACTTGCTTGGAGCTTGATCGTTAAACCCCATTGTAATCAACAGACAGGAAGAAGTATTTAGCCGTAAGTCATATGTGCAATTGCACCATCAGTCCAGTCTGCTCTGCAGCAGCGGTATGAACACGGTGGCCATTCTTCTGTCTCCAGACCTCACAAAGCAATACAACTCAACTGGTTTGTGTTTAATCTGCAGGTTGTTTTTAAACATAATTTTGCATATAGTTACAGAAGCTTGTGTGCATTGAATTTTAAGTAATTTGACAAGTCATTTGCTATGGTAATGTCTGTTAAATTATTCTGCTCTTTCCCTCTCTCAAATTACTGTAGTTATAATTCACGTACATAGATGCATTGCTTTCCTGTGCATGTTTGTGTCTTTGGCAGGTCACCATTATTGCAGATGATAACTGCAGATTTTTATGCTGGTCAAGAGAAAGATTAACTTATTTTCTGGAATCAGAGCCTTTCCTGTATGAAATATTTAGGTATCTTATAGGAAAAGACATTACAAATAAGCTCTATTCATTGAATGATCCCACCTTAAATGATAAAGTAAGTGCTTTTCTGAAATTTTTTTCTGTTAACTAAGTATGTGCTGTGAAGTATACGTCACTTTACCCAAACTATGTTTTACTGATTTCCACTAAGCAGTCATACGTTACAGAGAGAATACTTGTAATGGAGAGGTCCTTCAGCAAGTCATTTCTTGAGAGTGAGGAAGTATTGTATAATTATACTTGCCATTGCATAGTGAATAGTCTCTGTCAGGGCCGTCATTTATGAGATGAAGTTCTGTCCTCTTCAGTGGAGTTTTTTAAGTAACCCAAGGAGGCTGGTAAGGGGGTGGGAGGGAGTCAGAGGAGAGCACGCCAAGGGTGGCAGGCCGAGAGGCTGCGGAAGGGGGAGGGCTGTACGCTGTGAGGCGGGCAGCTGGCACGTTAGCCTAGGCCTCCCCCAGGCCGGCACATCTTCCTGGGTGCAGCCCCTCCCAGGAAGCCCATGGGTGACAGGAAAGGGTGGGCTTTCAGAGATGCGCAGGTCTTCAGCAATTTGCACTTTGTTCTTAATTTCCCACATTGTGTAGGAGGAAGTTTAAAAAGTTACACAAGAGAACTTGTGATATCGTTTCTGTGTGCGCACTTCTCCAGAACACTGAGTATGAGTGTGCACTCTTGTCTCAGCTGACTGTCCTGTTAAGTCTGTGCTTATTATTTCAGGTTGATAAATAGGTTATTGAGTAGATTAAATTTTTCGTGATGTTTACAGGAATAGCTGATAAAATCACAGTTTACATTTATTGGATACATAAGGTATATTTTTTTTTCACTAGCTTATTTCAAGGAAAAGTATATGCTGCTTACAGTGATTATATGATTCACATCTCATAAATCTCAGGATTCTTAAAACCTTGCTTTGCAGAAAGCCAAAAAATTGGAGCACCAACTCAGTCTCTGCGCACAGATCTCCATGCTGGAAATGAGGAACAGCATAGCCAGCTCCAGTGACGGCGAAGACGGCCTGCACCAGTTCCTGAGGGGCTCCTCCAGCACATCTTCCCTTTGTAAGTCACCCGGCAACGGATGAGAGCCCAGCATCCCCGGAGACGGCACTCACACAGCTACTGTGACAGCTTCATCAAAAATAACTTTGCAAACTAAATAGCAATAACCACATTTTTTCTAGATGTCCCCCCCCCTTATTTCATAATAGCTAATCCAACTTTAAAACATTTCTGTTTTAGAAATTGTTCACTTGTTTTGCCATATACTTTGCTTAGATACTGATTTGCTGGGAGAGTGTAAAACAGTCCATGGGGTTTGGTGGATATTGTGTTTTCATGATTTTAGTTAGAGTGAAATCCTAGACCAGCAGTGTTTTAAGAAGGGTAAGGAAACAGCTGCGGGATGTTTTACTGTAGGATCATCTCAGTCGGAGCACCAAGGGTTAAACATTGGTTGGATACCGTGGTATTCCTGAAAAGGAAGGTCATGCAGCATGCCGGAGTTACTGCATTCGCACACCGACTGAGAGGCAAGTTTCCCAGACTCATCCGAGTTTAGATTGCTTTAAATCATTTTAAGTAGCAGTAACGACACAGGTTTTCAAAATTAATAAATAAAATGGGAGAAATCAAATTATTATAAGTAATATAAGCACCGAACAAATTCATATGAAATTGCAGAATGGCAGATGAATTCTTCTCTGTACAAGCTAAAAACTTTCATATTTCCAATTCTAAACCAAAGCCACTTATTTAAAAATGCAAGCACTCATTCAGTAATCCTGTGTTTATATAAATGATCTTGTAACGTGTGTGCTTTAGATAAATTGGGTTACTCAGGAGAGGATGGTATTTACAAGGCCATATAATCGGTGTGCAGGGGAGGCAAAACTTCACCTCTTCCCTTTTATGGTTTCCATTTTTATTTATTTATTTCTGGCTGGGCCTGACAGTTAAATTGACCTAGGGCAGTTTAAGTGGAGGAGTTCATACATAGTACAAATTTTACATGGCACCGGAGCCTACAGAAGGAAATGAAAACCCAAAGAATCTTTATAGAGTCAAACACTTACATGTACTAAATTGGACAAAAATAGGGAACTGTGAAACATTAAATTATGTTGGAACACTTAAGAGTTATTTAAATAAGGTTTGTAAAGAATTCTCTGTCTCAGTTTCCTGTCCTTGATAAGAATGTTTTCCTTCCTTTTTATAGTTACTTTCTTTTTTTTATTAGTACATGTTTGCATTACATATTTTACATTCCCGTGTGGAGCTGGTACTGCACAGAACACACCTTAGTTCCTTTCTTCATCCCCTTTCCTGCCCCTCCCCCTCCCTCTTGATCCCTTTCCTGTTTGAGCAAGATCTGTCTCCCTGCTTCCAGTTAACTATTATTTTGTTCTTTATTTATACCTTGGGTTTCTCATGCGAGAGAAACCATGTGATACTTTAAGTTTGTGTGTCGGATTCATTTCACTTATGGCCTCCTGGTGCATCCATTTTCCTACAAATGACTCAAGTTTATCTTTCTGTGTAGCACAGTAGTACCTGGGCATCTTCTACATGGGAATTTCGCTTCCTGTCATGATCAGTGAAGGCTGGAGTGACAGTCTTCTTGCACCTGCTGTTTTTAAAAGTGCCTTTAACTCAAAATAGTCAATTGGCCATAATAGCGTAGTTCTAATTTCTTCAGATGTAACACGCTAAAGCAAAGTCTAAGCATAGCAGTGTTATGGACATAAAGGGGATTCAAGGGCAGCACGTGTAACAAATTGCAAATGGTTGTGTTTATTGCCTGGCTTCTTTTTGAGAGTATTAAGTGAGGCTCCCTGTGCAGGTTGGGTGTTGCTTTGGGCCATGTGCTCCCCACTCCAGGATTTGGTCAGAAAAGCGGCCTAATGGGCTCTCATCCACAGGCAGAGGGAGGACAGTGGTGGCAGATTCACTGATGGTCCTAAAGCTCCTCCCCCAAGTGGGGTGTGCCACTACCATTCCGGGGCATAACTGCCCTCAGTAGAAGGTCACTGAACCCTTTTGCTGTGCAGACGGATGAGAGGAGGAGTGCAGGTGGTTTCACAGTAACTGAGTCTGTGTCAGTGGCTATGATTTTACGTCAGCGATGAGGCATTTGGGAGTATGATATGTTTGTTCACTTGTTCTCATTGCACAGGGTTGGATACAAAGTGAGGGCTCCTGTTGAGCTGTAAAGCTCATGCTTGTAGACACACTGATACCGAGGAAGGGCTTGCTGCACAAGCACATAGAAACCCGTACTTTGGCATCAAATGTTTGCAGAAAGAAGGGACTTATTGCAGGCCAGCCGACAAGGAAACAAGCTCAAGTCTCTCTCCCAGTTGGCTGGTGGTGAAGGAATTTAAGTGCCTGGGGTGGGGGGAAGTAGCAAGCTGATTGGTAGGGGTAAGCAGGAGTCTTGGTGAATATTCTGCACCCTGTAGGCCTGACCACGTGAAACCTGTGGAAAATTGAGAACTGTTGACAGCACTCATCACTTCTTTCTTTCTTTCTTTTTTTTTTTTATTATTTTAAAGAGTAAAAGAAGGATAACATACTAATGGGGGGAATTACCGAATTACAGACAAAGTGGTAAGATTATCAATGGTTGTTGTTTTACATATTGTTATCTACAAGATAGTTTCTAAGGAAAACAAATAGACAAATAATAG